AAATGTATAATGTTATGAAATTTAAACTATTTAGACTAAACACTTGTGTTTTTGTGTTATAGTTTGTAGTAATTCTAGAACGAAAAAATCATAATTTATATTTATTTACTAATTTTTTTATGGTGGTTACAAGATCAGTCAAATTGACCAAACCTGTACAGATATTTGTTAGTGAAAATAACAGATAAAATATAAAGTTTTTTCTTAAAAAAATCTGATAACTATATGGACATAAGGATTTTGCATATGAAATTTGAAAATTTTCTGATGCATAAAAGTATTTTTAATCTTAATATGAAAATTACTTTTGTATGTTGGATAGGCAACATATGAAAAGAAAGAAAAAGGAATGAGAAAAACATAGAATCAGAAAAAATCTCAATTAAGTATATTATTTTTCAAAAACTACATACTTGTAGGATCTTTCATCTCAATTTTAAAATAATTTCATCTACTAAGTTTCATTTTTATGAAAAACTTTCATGAGAGTTACATACCTACTTATAGTGTAACTAGGTAATAGACAAAGCGTTAAGTCTGCCACTAATGTAAGGGATAGGTCAAGTTGCAAACTTGTGTATGTCATTCTGTTTGAAAGTAGTGTGAATTCTCCTTTTCATAACATTTTTAGCCTTTTTAACTGTATCAGAAATAAAACTGTTTGGCTAACCATTTAGTTCATGCATATTTTGTAAATCAGTCAGATCCTTAAATTTGCTTTATTTAGAATAATAAAAGTCTAAATTAGAAGGCCAAGATCTAAATATGTTATAAATGTATCTTAACCACAAAGCAGGCATTTAACTATGTTTTAGATCATGAAACTAATAGATCACTCCAATCTGTGTATAAATGCTACAGTAAAAAGTACTGCAACTCTGTAATGATCTGTATCATATTGAAAATAACTAATAGGCAGAATAAAATCAATAACTTTTCTAAGAAAAAGTTACGGAGGAATGTAAAAATGAGTTAGGCCCATTTAGTGGTGTTCTATGTATAGCTTGGCAATTAGCTCAATTAATTAGTATAATCAATTACCTGCATTTATCAGTTACCATACTCATTTAGTGGGGCCAGAGTCTACACTGGTGTCAGCCATGTAACATGAGTTATGCTTGGTCAGTTTTTTCTCTCTCAATTGGGATCATTGTAGAATTGATATTTGTTGTTACTATTTCTGCTCAAACCAGTTGTACATAATATATTAAAATAATAATTATACCTATAATTAAAATACCCAGTTAAAAATATGGAGCTGAGTTCGGTAATGTTTGATACATGTAACATCAGTAACAAAATGGTGAAGACAGTTGACCTTTTATACTTCATATTAAATTTTTATGAAGTGATTATCTGTTTACTTCTTTTCATAAGATATAAATGGCAGATCAAGACAGTATCACTCAGAATGCTCCAAGAGGAAATATCATTTTAGAAACATATTGATTGCTGTTGGCTTTGAAATAAAGTATATTTTTATCCAACCTCAAGTTTTGGTGATGTTGCAAGCTGGGAATAATTGGAAGTTGCCAAATCCATGTGACTTGATCTTTCATAAAAGAAATATTATTTGAAAACTTTAGTAAAAATGTCCCTGAAAATAGTCAGCTATTTCATATTTTCAGATAACTAATATTATAATGATGTGTTATTCTTTGCTTGTGAACTGTGTAGGGTAAAGAGTTTTGATTTTTATAATGTATGCATTAATTCATTGAATCTGTACATATTTTTCTCCTTGTTTGTTTAGGCAATTTTCAATACAAAAGATTATGGCAGCTAGCAGCATTTTTGTTACTTGAGCTGAAAAAGGTTGCAGGGATGTACCACATCACTAATACAATAGATAAAGGATTCCATACTCAGACAGAGTGACTAGGCTATATTTGCTGACCTTTAGATATAGGTAAGATAGAGTGGACATGTTTATATTTACACTGTATAGGGTACTTAACTAAACAGATGGGTCTAATCTTGATCACTTCTTTGTTTTCCCAAAGTTTAACAAAATTGTAGACAGTTTATATGAAATTTTAAATAACACAAATGAACTTTCCTTCATTTAAGTACCTTTATGCAGAGAATAATGTATAACTGAACACTTCCTGATGTTAGTGTATGCATAATCTCTTAATTTAAGTCATCCTTAGAAAAGAATTGGAAACATTTGGAGTTTAATACCAATGTAATACCATTACCATTGTAATGCATGCACAGTACAAACATTTAAGTTTTATGTTTAAAAAGCTTACAAAAACTTGGTATAGTATCCAGTTGTTTTAGAGGTACGAATTAACTTGTTCAGAAATACTGTTGTATGCTTTTCACTTATCTAATGTTGATGTGAAGCTCATCAATTAAATGGAAAGGACCCTACAAATATCTTATCATTTTTAGGTGGTATGTTCATAAACAAGGTAAATACAGATAAATTAATCATAATCCATAGTAATATTACATTAAGAGAACTAAATAGGAGATAAGAATTGTGTACTCTTATTTGTAAGAGCTTATTACTACCATTAAATGTACTGTGTAAAATAAGAACTTCTTTAGTGAAAGCTATTTGTAATAATTTGAATGAAAGTTTCACAACTTTTTCAGTTTCAACAACAGATCACTATATTTGATAACTCCTAAGTAAGTAACCAGTTAAAAAATTTCATATACAGTTAGGTAAAGTATAATAATTTCTTCAGACATTCTAATTTAATGTGTGATTTTTTTGTGTGTGTTCTAAAATGTGTATTTGAAAGCTATGTGAATTATTTTTGGACAACCAAAATAGGGAAAAAAAATTAAGCTTATTAAACCATGGATCTGAATGCAGAAGGCCTCAAGGTTGAAGTAAGTGCACAATTTCTTGGTTTTTATTTATATTTTTTAACAAAAACAACTAAAATGTAAAAGTTGGGAAATTTTAAAATTAGATAAAACTTAAATGAAAACAGATAAAAAAAATACTTTCTGCATGAAGAATATGTGCAAGCTCCCTGCCATTCTTGTGATGTGACTCAATACTTTGTTTACCTTAACTTGCTCTAAGCTCTTGCCATGTGATTTCTTCCTTTTTTACACTACTTAGAAATGCTTAAATGAGTAATAAAACAAAATTAAATGAAACCAGATAAACTGTTATGAGCCTGAAGCTGTTTAGGATAAATTATTGTAATTGTCTGTTACAATATGCAGTCATTGTAGAAAAAACAAGTGTATTTTTAATTTTATTAACATTTTTCAACTTTTGCTATGGATGATTTTACTACAGTTACTCTTAAAGAAGGAAAAAGATAAAACAAAGTTTTACCAAAAGAAATAAACTTTTGATATTTATTAACTCTCTTTACATGGTGTTGTTCGAATTGACCGTCTTCGTAACCACATTGTACTTGTTATAGTGTCCATACTATAACTTTTATTACAGTATGTGTATCTTCACAAAATTTGTCAGACTTTTAGTAAACATTACTCATCATTTGTACACCAAAAACCAAGTTTCTTTAATTAAGTGTTTTTACTAAAGATTGTCCGTGAATATATCAAATCTTTTTTTTACTAGTCCAAATGCAAGGTGTATTTTAAATTATGATTAAAAATACTTTTCTTTGTCTTTAAAATCTCAACTTTCATTTGTGTAAACTTTTAAATAAATATAAACTGTTTTTCTACTAAACTATATTTTATCTGTTATTACCTCTACCCTAACAATATATTTCATTCTTCAGCCTGTAGACAAATCAATGTATAATGAAAAGTTGTAAAATCAGAAAAGAAATGAGCAGCTGTGCCTCTTTTCTTCATTATTGATCATGAAGTATCAAAGTACTTTACTTAAGAGTTTGAACTGCTAAACATTTCACATTTATTTTTTGTGTTTATTTTACTGTCAACAACTGAAGTAGAAATCACCGCTTGTGTCATTAGACTGTTTACGTGACACTGTAATACAATACTCTTGAGAGCAACAAAGCGAAGAAATAAGCTGACCTGACCCCTGCTCCGAGAACATGATGTAGAATTTATTAGTTTAAGTATCCTACAGTGTTTACAAAGAGAATTCCCCAAAATAACAAGATTGCACTTTCAATCTGTGAAAATGTTTATTCTATTGTTTTGAGCCAATCCAATAAATGTTGCAAGTGTTTTGGTCATCCTTCTGGGATGATTGGAATTTAGAGGTATACCATATAGGTATCCAAAGATATTATTTGTATGCATGGTTATAAAATCTTTAATAGGTAACGTTGTTTTCATAATATTTATTCCAAAAATAAAACTAGTGGATGAAATTGTTTAAAGTTTGACAAGAACATTCCTAAAAGTATGTAGTTTCAGAAAAATAAAACATTTAATTTAGATTTTTTTCTACTATTTCTAATAAAAAATCAGTTATTTAACCCTATCACCCCGGGTACCCTTTACTGTGTATGACCCAAGGTTTTAGTGTCTTACATTCAAAATTTTATTAAACTACTTTTTGTTTATGTTATACTAATTAGAATAGCATAAAATCTTAGCTAATAATCCATATTTTAATAGTATACAAGTTTTACGTTCTTAATTGTACAAGGCAATTTTTAAAAAAATCCTGAATTTCCACCATGAAGATTAGGTTTATGAATTGCTTTATCTCAATGTTTATTACTTTTCTCATTGAGTGACACTTTTATATTGTACTGCTCTTCTGTCATTATTATGTATAAATCAACACAATCCATTGTTTGTGTCTAAAAACCTTTTTAAATATTTGTCAAGTGGAATATATTTATTGGAAAACATGATTGCTAATAAATGCATAATAAATTGTAGTTGCAGTTCTGTAAATGTCAACATTAAGTTAATTGTCATCAGTATTTGTTATTAAGTATCATTGTGTAAATTCTCATCAGAGGTTTATTATTTGAGTTATGTATACCATTTCATGTAATAAAATTTATTATTATTTTTTTGCTAAAAGGAGCTAGCCTATTTCAACTATGACTTCAAGTACAGGAAGCTGCTCTAGTATCCCACGTATTATGGTTTTTCGGCCTACAATGGAGGAGTTCAAAGACTTTACCAAATATTTGGAGTATGTGGAATCTCAAGGTGCACACAAGGCTGGTCTTGCAAAGGTATAAAGTATTGTAACACAACATTAACAATTTTTCATGTCTGTGTTTTATACTGTACTTTCAGTGTTGCTAAAATGACAAGAAAAAATGGAATTCTTCCAGTGTGTAATATGTATTTAAAACAAGATTGTATGTCCTGACATAGTAAATGTTGCAAAATTCAGGACCAATAAAGAAGACCAAATCATCTTAGAATTTATAGGAGTTATCATGTTTCTGCATAACGTTAGTGTTAATAATATATATATCAAAGAAGCTCTACTTTTATGAAATTCTGAATTTTAAGACTGAAAATTCTTTCCTCTTAGGGTAAGACATTATTATATGATTGTTACATAATGTTTTTTTAACTAAGGCCAGAACCCAGTTTGAATTATTTGAATTAAAACAGAAAGACATTATATTGTTTAAACTGAATATGTGTATGGAAGTGTTTTGATTTAGACAAGTGATTTAACATGTATTTCTCTTTTTAAAGCTATTTTGCATACAGGGTTTGTTGCAAGTCTTAAAAGCTTTTAGAAGTACTCAAATCTAGTTGTAAAATTTCCAGACCTTTAAACCTTATCACTACAGGGTCAAAGGCCATGTCATATCGCGTTTGTTGACTTGTAATCAAAATTTTATTGAACCACTATTATATGAATGTATGTTAATAAGTTTGGTATCAAATTGTAGATTAAAATTCAAATTTTAGTATGATCCATTAGATAATTTCTTAATTTAAAAGTAAATATTAAAAAAGAAATCCTAAATATCAATTTTTGTGTGTCACAAGGTATGTTGAATGCAGCATTGGTTCAAATTAGATGTTTGTGATGTCCAAGTACAAAATCTATAGTCTCTTATGAATTAGGAACTAAAACTACCGATATTGACAAGCTAGAATCTAAAATAAGAACCTCCTCTCCTATTTGCTGAGATATTGCTACATTTATTGAATCAAACACAGTGGCCCTGCCCACTTCTTTCCATTTTTGAAAACATTTGCTTATGTACACCCACTTCAGTCTACAATGTGTGAATAATCAATCAACAGCTCAGAGTGTCCCCCCATGTGGTTCTCTGAGCCTTTGCAAAGTATTTACGTAGGAAACTTTCTTTTTCATGGCAGATTTCAAACAATAAGGTAAGTCTTTAGTGAGCCCAAAATTTAATATTTTTTTAGATCCAAATACAGTTTAGTTACTAAGCTTGATAAATTATAATGGAATTCTATGGTATTGACATAGTAATTTATGATTTTTATTTCAAAATGTATATATATATATAAACCTAAAAAAAAATTATTTCGTTTCACATCCTCCACGTGCAAAATTTGATAAGGCTTAGCAACCTATGGCAAGCAGCAAACAAGTTCAAAGTTTGTAACTAGAAGAGAGAATTATTTTATATAATTCTTTATTTTCTGTTTTATGTTTTAAGAAAAATAACTGAAATTTAAGAACTTATTTTGAATAGTGATAAGGTATATACATATAATGTATTAAAACTCTAAAGTGACTGTATTTTACAAAACACTAGTCCACTAAAACACAGCCAACACAGGTCGCTTTTTATATTCTTGGATACAGTAACATGAGTGCAAGTGCACTGCATTATTGGAACTTCTATAATGTTAGCCAGACACAGCTGAAAGGTCAGTATAATAAAAATAATAAACATATTTAAATGTATAATGTTATGAA